GGGGGGGTGTGATGCTCCCCCAGCCCCTTCCCAGCGAGACCTTGGTGGGGCTGTAAATGCCCCAAATGACCCAAAATCGCAATTATTGCTGAAAATAATCAATTTTGTTTCTTTTTTTTCCCCGCTGGCAAAGCGGTCCCTTCGTCCCCAGGGTCCTTTCTGTCCCCAGGGACCCTTCTCCATCCTTCCCCTCCCCAACCCCCCCCGTCCCTCTGGCTTCCTCAAAGGAGAAAAACGAGTGGGATCTGCTGAAAATTCCCCGATGTCCCTGGTTTTCTTTTTTTTTCCCCGGCTCCCAGTTGCAGCCGGACTGGCCAAGACATCCCAGTGCCGGCCACTGGTTTCCGCAGCCGGCTCCAGTGTTGACCTGGACCCAGGTGGATTCCAAGAGGGACCGAGCCCGGTGCCAAGGGCCGGTTGGGGACACCTCGATGGAGAACTTCTGGCTTCCAGCTCGATTGAGTGGCTAAAAAAGGGCCATCTCCGGCTCGTGCAGAGCGAGGATGGGCCAGGAGACCTTCTCTTGGGCCACTGGGCCACCTCCCTCTGGGCTTCCCAGCCTAATCATGGCCTTCCTGGGTCAAGGAGCTTCTCTCTGTAGGTCCTACCCGGCCACCGGTGATGGAGGTGGTCACTGGTCATGATGGAGGAGGCCACTGGTGATGGAGGTGGTCACTGGTCACGATGGAGGTGGTCACTGGGATGGAAGAGGTCACTGGTGATGGAAGAGGCCACTGGTGGTGATGGAGGTGGTCACTGGTCACGATGGAGGTGGTCACTGGGATGGAAGAGGTCACTGGTGATGGAAGAGGCCACTGGTGGTGATGGAGGTGGTCACTGGTCACGATGGAGGTGGTCACTGGGATGGAAGAGGTCACTGGTGATGGAAGAGGCCACTGGTGGTGATGGAGGTGGTCACTGGTCACGATGGAGGTGGTCACTGGTGATGGAAGAGGTCACTGGTGATAGAAGAGGCCACTGGTGGTGATGGAAGAGGCCACTGGTGGTGATGGAGGAAGTCACTGGTGATGGAGGTGGTCACTGGTCATGATGGAGGAGGTCACTGCTGTTGGAGATGGTCACTGGTGGTGGAGATGTTCACTGGTGGTGGTGGAGGAGGCCACTGGTGGTGGAGGAGGCCATTGGTGGTGATGGAGGTAGTCACTGGTGATGGAGGTGGTCACTGGTGGTGACAGGGGAGACTCCTGGTGATGGAGGAGATCACTGGTGGGGATGGAAGAGGTCACTGGTGATGGAGCTGTTGCGTTTCCACCATGGGTGAAGGACCCAGCCCAATCCCGAGCTCTGGCTGCAGCACTGTTGGGCTCTGCAGACCCCCCCAAGTCCCTTGAGCAAAGGGGTAGGACCTAGAGACGGAAGGTCCCACCACCAGGAGGTCCCACCACCAGGATGTCCCTCATCATTTGTCCCATGGCCCCACGTGGAGCAGCTCAAGGTCCGTAATGACCGAGGGCTGGGGAGGTGGTGCCCGAGCGTGTCCCAGGGGTCCTCCTGCTCCCCACAGATTGTCACCAAACCTCCCAGAGATCCCACCACAACCCCCTCGCCCCAAACCCAACGCTCATCCCTCCTCCTGAACTCGTTTGTGGGGGGCAGGAGGTGAGGAGCGTCCGTCTGTCCATCTCCCACCCCCCTCCCGGCTGCTGGGGAGAGAAAATAAAAGAGGAAAGGGTTAGGAAAAGAAAGAAAAAGTTTAAAAAAGAAAAGGAAAAGGAAAAGGAAAAGGAAAAGGAAAAGGAAAAGGAAAAGGAAAAGGAAAAGGAAAAGGAAAAGGAAAAGGAAAAGGAAAAGGAAAAGGAAAAGGAAAAGGAAAAGGAAAAGGAAAAGGAAAAGGAAAAGGAAAAGGAAAAGGAAAAGGAAAAGGAAAAGGAAAAGGAAAAGGAAAAGGAAAAGGAAAAGGAAAAGGAAAAGGAAAAGGAAAAGGAAAAGGAAAAGGAAAAGGAAAAGGAAAAGGAAAAG